GACTTGAAGAAAACCTACAGAAGTGTTCACGTTCAAGTGAAACCGCAAAACTTGTAATATATTCTTTATAAGATACTTATTTTTAGAAAATGCTAACTGTGTTAAAATAAATTATATTGACTGAACAAAATGCATCTCTTGACTGTTTGTTGTTTTAACCTCTTAACATTATCAAAGGTTTATGTACTTATCCAAAGCCACCCAAACCAGCTTAAAACTAACCAAGTCAAGCACCAATATGGAGATAAATAAATACCTACCACATATTCGCCAGTGGTTCTGGCTGCATTTAGCCTCATTGCCTAAACTCCGTATTTCCATAAGCCTCCTTAGGTCTTCCTAGTCTAAGGCCACTAAAATTACCATGGGTAATATTATGCCCAAACATTTTGTTTTCAGTGGTGGCATGTCCATAAGAACAATTGTTTCAGGGTTAATGCAATTTGATTCTCTCTAACATCTCTGTCCTTTTCTGCTGCAAATGACAGATGTATATATGTCACAAAAGTCCATTTTTAAAAGAAATTTGTTCAGGCTGAAAGAGAGAGCTTTCTTATCATTTATTGGTGAAAAGAACAAATGGACTTAAAACACTGTTTTTATTCTGTTTTTTTTCCAAGGACTTATGGTCTGACCTTTTGTCTTTAACTCAAAAGTAAGCCTCGTGAGAGAAGATGAGATACAGGACTATTTGATATCTTCAAATTTCACATTCTTGCAAGCTATCCAGCCTAGCTGATAGATATTCTTTTTTTCTCGCTATCCACTGTGCTAAATATTCAAAGGTTAATAAAAGGAATATGCAGTGTGTGCATAACACTCTATTTTGTGTGCAACACACATTTATTGCCTGTGTGTTGTCTTTGTAATTTTATTTAATCTTTTTGCATTTTCAAAGGAGAGCAGAGAACACCAATTTGTTGCATCCTGTATAATATTAAACAATTATGTATAAAGCAAGGGGGTTTGAATTATTACTTTGATTCTCTTGGTAAGGGTAGTAACCAGTACAGCTTTGTTTTCACACTTCTGTCAACTATATTTTGTGTGATTTAAATAAATTATAGCATATTCAATGTAAGCTAATTTGGAGAGTGAATGCAAGCCTGACATGCGCCCTGGCACATGTTATTACCATCAGAGTATCTGCTCCTTCTTTCTTAAATGAATCCTGCTTGAAACAGCAGTTTTTGAGGGCAGCAAGGCTATGCAAAGTTTCAAGCAAAATACACTTCCTTGGTGAAAAGGCATTCAACATGGAATTACAACAGCAGAAAAAAAATAAAACAACAGCTAAAGTAATTCTAGGTTCCTTCAAAAATTAAGCCTCTTTTACATCCCATTGTCTCCTTCAAACTGACTGCTCCAGACTTTTCTGGCTGTGGTTTAATGGCTTTTTGTCAGTTCCTTTGGTTTATGAGAAATTGAAGTATTCAGCAGCTCCTCGAACTGATCTGACTTTCAGCTTCCCAAATAATGGAGAATTTGCTATTCTGACTTTCCCAAATAATAGATTGGGAGAATAATGGAAGATTGGTGAGGAAGATTGTGAACAAGGTCAAATGGCTTGCAAGCTGGGGTGTCAAAAACCACATACATCATACCAGTCATTGCTAAGCCTTATGTGCTGGGCAGCACCTGTGTTCAGAGAAAATATTCCAGTGGTAGATTTAGAGACATCCTGTTGAGCATGGTTGAGATTCCTGCCCTGCTGTGGGAACAATCAAATGGTAGTAAACCACACCTGCATGAATCCCTGATATACAGGAGGAAAGAGGTTTGGTGATCCCCTAGGACTCACAGAACTCCATGGTGCCTGCATCCCTGCTTGTGTGCCTCTGCTTGGGTGCTGCTTTGGGGATACCCCCACTGGCATCACGATTTAAACCCAGCCAGCAGCCAAGCACCCAACAGCCAGTCACTCACTCCCTCAGCAGTAGGATCAGGGAGAGAATCAGAAGAGTAAAACTTAGAAAACTCGTGGTTTGGTTTCAACAAAACCAAATTTTCTCTCCATTTCTTCCATGGTGTTGTGGTTGTTCCTGCGTCCTGTCTGAGCTGGCTCACACACCAAGGAACACCAACAACAGAGAACTCAGGGGAAGGTGAAAAAAATCAGAGGATTCACCCCACAGATTAAAGTCCAGTTCTGAAATCTGGAGAAGATATTGTCTTAAGTTCAGAATCACCATAAAGTTATGGAAACTAGCACTGTCACTGGACAGGGCCCTGCAAAGGTGCTTCTGCCCAAAATCCTGCAGCACCACAGTCCTCACCACTCAGCCTGCTGCCAGTCCTCTCTTGCTGGGGCAACCAGCCCTTTCTGCTCTGCTCTGGGCTCGTGTAGCCTGAGGATGATACAGCATGTCTGCAGGAGACTCTTCTTTTTCATATTGACCGCATGTTATCCTCATGAAAAGACCCAGTAAAAGCCCCTAAGTATGCTTCCACTTTGTGACAAAAGACATGCAGATGAACAGGTTGAATAGTTTGGACATGGATTTCCTTTCTTTATATTTTTACACTGGGCTATATACAGGTATTTTCTGTAGCTGCTTATTTTTTAACCTCAGTTAAACCCCTGTTACTGGGGTTACACCGATGCAAGTAAGGGGAGAAAAGAAAGTACAAAGTCTTTCTCAGTACAAAGCGGCACTATGCCTCAGCTAATGTAATCAAATACTTCATCAGTCAATACTCATCTGACTTGCCAGGATCACAAACACCAGAAGGTTATACCAGGACAATCCTTTCTGCTGCCTCTCCTAAAAGCAGGACTTTTATTAAGACAAGAGAACAAAGAAAAATAATACTAAAATCATAAGAGGAATTAGAAATATATTGGGAAGATCCAGGCTGGTAGGAAGCAGGCACCCTCTACTGTGGGCTCTGTGAGTACTTCACATTATATACTTACTATTTAAAATGCATGAAGAGGTATGGGCAGAAGAGGAGCAACCTCAGCCCCCAGGTGGACACCCTAACCATTGGGATAGCTCAGGCATTTTTCTCAGGGAATTTGTAGCATGTTTTCTCTAAAAAAAAAGGTAACAGACTCAACAGGATGATTTGTACGACTCCCTGACAGTGCCCCTACAGCCAAAGTGCTCTCCTAGTTAAGAGCAGATTCAATTTCAACTTGGGATTGGAGTCCCTGAGGAAGAGGAAATTAGTGAGTTCAGTCTCTCCCTCACCCCCAGGGCACAGCTCTAAGCTTGTGGTTGTCCTGCAAAATCTGAGTAAGAGTGAGGGGTAAGTCTCGAGGCACACATAGTTTAACAGATAAGGCACACCAGGGAGCTTAAATGTTCTGATTGTTTTGGACCCAGATGAGCTGGGCATTGGGCTAGTCAGATGCCTCTGAACAGTGATTTGGGGATTAGGAGCAAAGCACTGAGTGAGACCACATGGCTCATAGTCCAGCATAAGGAGGCATTTTGGGTGAGCAGATTGAATCTAGGCAGTGAAAAAGTTCTAGAGTTTTTTCAGGCTACAAGAAATCTCTGCTGATCATAGAGATCTTGGAAGCAACATGGTGACTTTACTAATGAAACAAGACACCAATGCAGAAAATAAGACAGTTTTACAATTCTGAAACCGTGTTAGCCACAGCTGTTGTAACAGAGCTGAGTTCAGGCAGCCACTCTTCAACATGTTGACAGTGGTTTTGATCATAGATTTTTAAACCTTTCTTCAATTCTTTTTATCTTACTATAGGAATATCAGGATAAACTGCTATTTATATTATGAGACCTCCTATGCAAGTTTCTGTTGAAATAAAAGAGTAAACAAAAAAGAGTAAAAGTCATGGGATATTTTTTCTGAAAGCATGAAGTACATTTTAGAGATAACTATTGCTTAGCTGCTGATAGCATGCTTCAAGTTGTTCATCATCTTGATCTAAACAGATAGCTGTGGCAGCATAAATAGGTATTTGCCATTTATGTAGCACAGAGTGCTACATCTGGATGTCAACAGGCTGAAGACAGAAACAGTATCTTCTGATGCTCTTGCTCCTTGCAGGGGATTGGACTAGATGACCCATAATAATGTCTTCCAACAGAAATTATTCTATGATTCTGTGGTTCTATTATCTCCTCTCATTTACACCACCAAGTCCATACAGCTAAAGAACATATAGAGGAGGATTGATCATAATTATGTCTAGCTGCATACAGGGGATTTGGTGGTAAAAACGGTGATTGCCTCCTAGTAACCTTAGAATTAAATAATAAACAGGTTACATGCTATTAAGTGGAGTGCTATCAGTGTAAATACCCAGCTTTCTAACTCTTGTTGACTTTAATTTGTTTTCTGCCAAGACAGACAACTCTGTGGGACACATTTCAAATCAAATGATCTTCAGTGACCCATGAGTCATGAAGGGAGAGAGTGGTCACTTCAGAACAATTCACTGAAGAGCCATAGATATTTCAAATGAAAAGTTCATCTTACTAATTCACCTATAAATAAGATCCTGTGAGCTCTAATTATCTTTTTAAAGACAACAGTGATTTCTATAATTTGTCTCATCAGATAGCAGGGTCCCACAGAAATTTTGAAAGATTGTAATACCTTGGCTGGCTGAATCTCTCTTGTTTTGAGAGAACTCTTCAGTGTGACTGGCCATGTAATTATTTCTCCGTAACAGTCTTATAACAGTCAATTGGAAAAAGATTGAAAAAGGCCCCCAGTAATTGCAGACTTGAGACATAAAAACATCCACAGGAGGAACATTAAATACCATAGGCTGGAAGAAGTCGAGCTAGAAGTCATTTCTATAAACGCTTCTTTACCCAGGACAAGAGCAAGCAGAACTTCCCTGGGATGCTTGGGATTTATGCAAGGCTCCTAAGGAACAGACTTGCTCTCAGATGTGCTCATCAGGTTTCAAAAAACCAGCTGGTTTTCTGCTGGGCTCTGGAGGGCTTTGAGAGGCCTCCCTGCTGGTGTTAGCTGCAGGTAAGCAGCCTGTGCAGAGTGCTGTCCGGTGGGAGCACAGTGTCAGTCCCCGCTGCCACCCCCGGGATGTGCCAGTGCCTCTGCCAGCTGTGCTGGGGCCAGACTCGCCTCTCACTGGGCTTGGAGAGAGAGCAGTGCCAGACCCCATCTCATCTCAGCCCGTGTTCCATAAGGACACCTGGACTCTAAAGGTAAGCCAGATCCTGCGAGGGAATTGGAGACAGAAAGGAACATTTTGTGCCTGTGAAAAAAGCTCTGTTCCCCGCTTGCCATGAGCTTGCATGCCTGGTTTGAAGCACAGGATGAGGAACATTGGCCAAAGGTTGCATCAACAGGCAAGAGGGGAACTGGATCTTGATGACCTGCAGTGACCTCAGCTCTGCTCTTCTTTAATGATGAGCGCTCCTTAGGCTGAGGGAAAGACTTCTCTGCTTTATGCAACATTTCAGCTCGACTGCTCTGCCCAAGTAAGCAAAACCTCGTAAAGGCAAATAGTTAAGGGGGAACTTTCTAAAAATACGTCCTCACATTGAACTGACAATTTCATGGCTATTTCATTTCTTCAATGTAAGAACTTGGAACAAGGAATAATATCCTTATGAGGATTAAAAGCTGATGTTAAAAACAACAGGGGAGCCATTCATGATGCAAATAGATGAGTTGTGTTCACTGTGCCTCGTACTCTTGGTACATTACCTTCTTACATGTATTATTTAGACACAGCAAACTTGGCTAAATACACGAAAACAACTGTTGTCCATTGAAGTTCTATGTCTGGACTTAAAAGAGATTCTCCTGTGTCTGTAAAGAGATTACAGTCAGAGAACTGTCCCTGAAATCTGTTGATTTACTAATCCTGTGAATTTGCAGAAACCATAGCCAGAGAACAGGGGTGCTGGATGCAGATGTAAGACATACACCACACTGCAGAGGTATCTGCAGATGAGGTTCCTAGTGGAGGCACTGCAGTGTCAGAAGACAGTTGCCTGGCTGCAATTCAGAAGATCCCAGCTCCCTACTGAAGTCCTGGTGCAGGAAGAACAGAGGAGAGAGATGATGGGTCAGCACCATCTTGCCCCATGAATGATTTCTAAAGCTGAATAATGGCAAAAATTGCTTGCTTATTTGTCAGCATTTGCTTCTAGGAATACTTTTACAAGCATTATTTATTACTGATATTATTTCAACACAGATAAGGATATGGTAGAAGAATTGTGCAAACACAGAACAAATCCACCATGCGTCTCCCAGGGATGTCACAATCTAAGGAAAAGACAAGGTGAAACCATCCATCTGGAAGAGGGCAAGGAATCAGCGAGGCAGCATTGCCAGAATGACAGCTAGTGGTCTGAACAGACCAAGAGGTTGGTTAAGGTCAAGTATATCTCTGACACCAAAGCATCTTGATTTGGTCAGATCTAAAACAGAACTAGACAGTTAATATCAGATGACAGACATGTGAGGATTAAGGTACAAAGCTCCTTGGAAGCAAAAAAAGAAAAATTTTATGTGGTACTACAAAGAGTGCAGGATAAGGTAGCAATGGAGGGGAGATGACAGCATGGATAAATGCCCTTTGTGGCAGAAATATGAATGGATGTAGCACGAGAGGAGAGGACAGCACTGGAAGATTACTGCAGTGCAAGGAGGAAACACTTGGCTGAATGTTTTGTTTGGAGAATGGCTATGGAAGGCTACATCTTGTCAGCAGTTATGCAGAAGGTAAGACAACATTTAAAGGAGTACATGGACAGTGACAGAGATTGCTGATGAGTGACCAAGGTGAGGATGAGGTACTGATTTTGAGTCTTGAGCCCGACTAAAGACATTGGGAAGCAGCATCACTTGAGTGAAGGAGGTAAAAATTCATTTGATGGGGAGCCAGAACAGCACTTAAAAGCAGTGCTCCACAATGTGATTTTTTAAATGTGCATTCAGCAAGCTGTGAAGCAAGAAAGGAACAGAACATGAACAGCACAGAAATAAGCTTGCATTAGGTAACAATGTTTAAGGAGGAACAAAAGGTTAAGGGAGGGCATGACATCAGGGTGGCTCTGAGGAGATACAATAAGATGGAGTCAGAAGATGAGGAGAAGAGGTTTGCAAGAGCATGGTTCTGTGGGAACCATGAATCTCAATTTCCTGAGAAGACCTCAGACAGACCCTATTCCAAAAAGTTACTTTGCAAATAAAATAGAGCAGACTGAATCCACATGCATGTACTATGCAAATATTTGCCACCACTCTGATCAAAGTTATTAGGTGATAATGTCCAGCCTTGAAACTGGCCTTGAACAGCATACATTAAGGTGTTCCTCCACTACTACAGCTATTGCTAAAGATCAGCATGTACCATCAATCAGCCTTGAACCTTGTGCAGAGGACTGCCAGTGAAGCCATACAAAATATAATGTATTTGGAGCCTGACAAAAAAACCACACATGCACCCATCACCAGCACCAAAAAACCACTATTACAATTTATGTAATGTCAAAAATATGCTGGATAAGAAGAGGTAGCTAAAGAAATACAGAATTTTACTGTTTCTCATGCTTATCTGGGGAATAATGCTAACATTTTTGAGGTAAGTTTTTTTCGTAACCTAAGAGCCTTTACTTCTAGCTCCTAATTTCAGTGTAATAGAGATTTTTTTAAAATGAGTATGTGGTAAGAATACGAGAAAGAAAAGGAAATAATGGCTGCCACATATGTAAATGAAAATATGTTGTAGTCTGAAAAATATTAAGTTGTGCCACCAAAGACTACAGGAAAATAAGATGAAAAAATGCTTAAAATCTTGTTTTGAGAGTGACAGACAGCCAAAGTGAGAGTCATTTCACAGGTTATGAAATATGAATTAAGTTTCAAAACTCATATGGCCAGTGGAGATCTGATCAGCACATCCAGGCAGCTGAACACCAGCAGCTGCCAAAGTATGTGGTGTTACTTTAGGGTAAACCAAATAAATCTCTAAGTTGACATGATGGCACTCACAAGGGGTTTGACTCATTTGTCCCCGCACAGGAAGCAGAGACATTTGAAATGCCCTGTAGTAACCCATGTATCTCTAGACTCCCTTCATACAGACTTACAGTCCCCAAAGTCAGGTGTCGAGTCTGTTGACTTCATGGTGTCTTCAGAGACTGAAAAACTCCTGGAATCTGACTGTGGGATAACTGATCAAGCCCTAAACCTCCACTGAACAGAATGGGAGCTGGGCATTTTGCTCATATCCAAATGTGCACAGGTAGATACCTACATTTAAAACCCCCAGTCTTTGAACTGAATCCCATTCTCTGAGTTTTGAGGACCATCAAAGAAATGCAGACTCTGAATTCAGTTTTGGTCATCAACTTTCAAAAGCAAATTTTTATTTCAACAGGAACAATAGCTATTGAGCATATAAATAATAAAACTGACCTGGAGATTTCTGCTCTTGATTACACTCTGAAAGGAGATCCTGGAGAGACAGTATTTTTGGTTTAGGAATTGCATCATGTAATTTTTGCATAAATCAAGGCAGTCAAGATTGCACCGATCTGGAAAATACTTTGGCCAACAACTTCTGAGGGGAAAATGCAAACTGCAGTCACTCAAATCAGCTATACAGGGTTCATATTTCCTGACAAATTTCAATTGGAAATAAGGAAATTAATTCTTTCCTTCCACTGTATTCAAAGTGACACATTCCTGGTCTTTTTCCCATTTATAAAGCTTTCATTTCAAAATTACTTCAAGTTAAAAGAGAAAAAGATGGAAAGCATATGATTTTATTTAATTTGATCTATACTGGCTGTCACAATGTTTTGGTTTGCTGAAAATTCTGACATATTTGACTTAGGTCAAATCTACTAAATGGCTATCATCCAATTCTTTCTGGAATTAATTCTTTTCATAACTTCCCTAGTAACAAAACTTCTTTTCAATCTTACCCATAGAACTGCTAACTTTCTCCTACCAGGCACTCATGTATTGAAATCTATGAAGAACTCATACTGTATTTACTTTTGAAAACATTGACCAACCAATTCTTTGGAATTCTTACACAGTAAAAGTTCCCCAAGACACTTAGCACTGGTTTGCTTCCTGTCTTGTCATTATCAGAAGGAACTTAATCTAAAACTTTCACCACAGGAAAACAAATCATACTGTACTGCTCTTGAAATTCTCCTCTATAACATTTACAATAAGGACAGAAAGTAACTTTGAATATTTCTATTAACTCGAATGAACAGAAGAGATGTATATGGGTATGAGCAGATTCCAAAAATTTTTTTTTTTATCTATTGCTGTATGCACAGATACAGATCAAACTAGAGAGATGTTTCTGTGTGCTGACATTAAATTTTGGTATGCAGTATCTCATGACTGTCACAGCCATAAGGCACAAAGCAGCTGGTGCGATGCATGTTGCCCAAACAATTTACAATAAATATTCAGGTGCAGTGCTGCATCTTGTTTTCTACTTTAAAATAGAACAGAAAAGACCAATTCCCAAATTCCTAATCACAAATCAAGGTCACTGACTGCTATCTTATAATACAGTATTTTTGGTTTTCTATTTATTTTTGTAAGATTGTACATATTTACATTTGTTGCTGCATGAGAACTTTATTAATTTGCTTGCTATACAGAGAGCAAAAGAGTCACTACTAACAGAAGGTAAAAAATCCTGTCTTGCTCAGTTCATAGATGCATGTCAAATCTATTTCCACTGTTACTTTCCTCCCCCCAACTCAGAAACAAATTACTTCAATAATAATATAATTCAAATAAATAAAGAAACCAGAAGAAAACTGGAGAGTTCTTCTTGGTAAGAATTCTACTCTAAATGACAGTCTCACTAGTACACAATACAAAACTAAGTCATACTAAAAATTTCGTAAAATCATAATTCTAAGAGCAACGATGATGTTTTAGTCTTTGGGATCATTCCCTTTCTTAATGCATATTCACAACATTTATGAAATAAAGGGAAAGAAATCCTTGTTCAAAGAGTTGTCACTGGTGACATTGTTTCCAACAGGTCCAGACACCTCTATCTTTCCATTTGACATGTACATCACATCTGTCTTTTTCTTCTGCCAGGCAATTCATAGACTCATAGAGCAATGTGGGTTGGAAAGGACCTTGGAATTTCACCTACTCCAGACACCCCTCTGCAATGAGCAGGGACATTTTCAACTACATCAGAGCCCAGTCCAACCTGACCTTGAATGTTTCCAGGGACGGGGCATCTACCACTTCTCTGGGCATTCAGTTCTGGTGTCTCACCACCCATATCATAAAAAACTTTCTTCACCTCTAGTCTCCTCTTTTAGTTTAAAAACTTTATCCCTTCTTCTATTGCTAAATTGTTCTATTTCCTAAAAATTCTGTCCCCATCTTTCTTACAGGTCCCCTTTAGAAAGAAAGACTGTACGACTGAAAGACTGAAAGACAGCAAGAAGGTCTCCCTGGAACTTTCTCTTCTCCAGGCTGAACAACCCCAGCTCTCTCAGACTGCCTTTGTAGGAGAGGTGCTCCAGCTCTCACTTTACTTTTATGGCCCTTCTTTGGACTCCCTCCTCGTTCCTGCGCTGAGGACCCCAGAGCTGTACACAGCATTTCAGGTGAGGTCTCATGAGAGCAGAGTAGAGGGGCAGAATCACCTCTTCTTTTGATGCAGCCCAGGACATATTTGGCTTTCTGGGCTGTGAATGCACGTTCTGGATCATGCCCAGTTTTTCATCCACCAGCACCCTTCAAGTCCTTCCCCACAGAGCTGCCCCCAATGCCTTCATTCCCCAGCCTGTGTTGATGGCAAGCGTTGCCCTGACACACTTGGCCTCGTTTAACCTCTGATGCAGTGCTCAGAGGAAGATCATAAGAAGTCACTTGCTGCTCAAGATATTTTTGTTTTGTTTGCCTTTTAACTTCCTTTTCTATAAAACCCATTGGATCACAGGATGAAAATAAATTCCTGCTGACCTTTACAGCAATTCCATCTGTTCTGCTTTAGAATACAGAGGAACAAAAAAAAAAAAAAGAAAAACAATAGAAAGGGGAAGTTCTCCCACAAAATAGGCTGCACTATCTGCAGTTTTTAGCATGTCACGGGGTTGACAGATCCAGCTGCAATGATGGTTAAAATCATATTACTGGTGTAAAACTGGGATGGCAATACTGCCTGAACTTAACTTAAACATGATACTTGTCCACTTAGTCAAGAAAGTCAAAAGATAATCAAGGTCTTTGATATGAAAAACTTAGTTTAGCTGTGAGGAAAAAAAAGTGCAGAGTATAAAAACCAGAATGCATTATTGATGTTTACATGAAAAGTAACAATCTTTCATTACTGAGATGAGGAAAAGTTGTTTTCTTGTCTTCTGTTTTAATAGATTTCATCCAAATAATTCCTTAAATATGGACAAAAAATTTAGCTCCCAGAAAGGAGGTGAATCCTTGGAATACAAACTACTATGTTCAGCTACCCAAGCAACTCATTAGTCAAGCAGAAGCATTAGCTGCAGAAGACAAAATAAAATGGATGAGGTGCAACATAATAGATGAGATCCTGATAATACAGAATGAAACTTTGTTGTCAGAAGACTCCCTCAGTTTCAGTGGCAGGTGTTTAAGAAGGCAAGAATAGAAAAAAATGGAATGACATTTATCAGAGATGGGTAGCCACCTTCATGGAAGTATAGATTGAAAGCTCTGTGGTTCTGTGATAGCTGGAATAAGAAATCAGTGTCTTTCATTGTCATATCTGTTGAAGATTTTCTAGGAGAAATACCTGATATGAATTATAATCTATTTCTCCCTCAGAATGCCAAGATAAAGAGAGGAGAAAGACCTCCCCCTAATCATTTGTCAGGACCACAATAGTATAGTTATGGGGGTTTTTAACTCTGTGCTGCAGGAATTAAATATCCTTATAACTGTGAACAAGCTTTCTGTAACAATGCTACAGAATCTCAAGTTCACTGAATATATTATAAAAACCTATATTATTGACTATCACATTGTTACTCTACAGGAAAGAGACTAATTTGTTCATCTAAGAGTATCATGGAATCGTAGAAAGGTTAAAGTTGGAAGAGAGCTTAAAAATCGCCTAGATTCCAAACCACCTGCCAAGGACAGGGGCACCTTCCATTAGACCAGGTTGCTGAAGTCCTCATCCAACCTGGCCTTAAGCACTTTCAGGAATGGGCCATCCACAACTTCTCTGGGCAGCCTGTGCCAGTGCCTCACCTCTCTCACAGAGAATTCTCTAATTTTCTCTAAGTTCTTCTAATATCTAATCTAAACCTATTTTCCATTTGAAGCCATTCTTCCTGATCCTGTCACTACATGCTCTTATAATTAGTTCCTCTCCATGGCTCCTGAAGGCTCCCTTTGGGTATTGGAAGGCTGCAATTAGGTCACCCCAAAGCCTTCTCTCTTCCAGGCTTAACAATCCCAATTCTCTCAGTCTTTCCTTGTAGGAGAGGTGCTCTATCCCTCTGATCATCTTCTTAGCAAGTCTATTAGCAAATTGTAGCTTTCTCAATAATAGAGACATCTCACTATTTTAACAGCACTTAATAAGTTGTTACTGTGCTTGTACAAAGCCAGCAGCACTCTCTGAGCTTGGATAGGCCACTCTACTAAGAAAACTCATAAAATTAAGTGCGTGTTTGCTGGTGGCCTTGAGTATGAGTAAAGGCCATTTGGAAATCACTGACTCTGGGTCACCTCTACCTTCTCTGTTTGCGCAGTTGGTTGGGTAATAACACCCACAAAGACAACGAAGGCAAACAGACCTTGCCAGGTTGACATGTTCTGATACTGGATATCAGTCAAAGCAATAGGAGCTAGAATTGATGGGAATAATACAGTCATGAAACTGATTTTTTATTGTTTTAAAGTTTTATTGCATTAGAAAGATTGAAAAATATTGCAACTACAACCAGGCAGCCACTATTATTCAGAACTGCAGACATGCTGAGAGACATGACACCAGCCACAAAAAACCTAGGATGAAAGCATTGAACATAAAGTTCATTATTCTCATGGGTGTCTGCAGGCAGGCCAATAGGAATTGCTTAGGAAGACAGAATTTAAAGAGACTTTCTGTATATGCATAAAATAACGGTTAGATGAGTAGATAAATTAAAACTTCTGTGCAGAAGAAGTCAATGCAGGTTAGAGAAGAAATGTGAATAATCAAAGTTCTTCCAAAATTCTTTCAAGGTTCTAGGTTTTTTTCACATTTATTTATTTGCTGACACTATGACTTATTCCACATCCTTGTCATATATGTGACCTAAGCTTCTTTCTTAATTTGGGCCATGAAGTACTATTACAAACACACAAAACTCAAGCACATAACTGGATTTCAAAGGCCAGGCTCTGCAGCAACAGGAATACAGAAAATATTAGCTAAGTCAACCTTATACATTATTGAGTCCTTTGGTGGCAAGGTGTGTGTGGTTTATCCAAACTTTTCCAGTCTTGGGATTTAAGAGAGAGGGAGAAAAAAGTGAACCTGAATCCTGAGCAAATCCTTTTAAGGTCTAATTGTCTGATCCATCCACTGAAACACTCAGTCTTTTCAGCAACTAAATCCCAGCTTACCAAATTTTTTTGGTGACCAAGGTTACCAAGCAGTTCCAACTTGGTCTCAGGTCTGTGTCTGTTTCCATTAAATACAGTTTTCAGGAATAGGCCTTAGAAAATGAAACTAATTGTTAGACTAAGAGCAGGAGCAAATAATTTAGTAAAAAATGTTTTGATGTAACCATTTGCCTATATCCACATATGCTCCCTTCTCTGCTTTCAGTGATTCCTTTCAGACTACAGGATTTGAGGGCTGCTATGGGAAGAAGTCCTGCATTAATAACAATATGCAGGAATATAATTTTATAGTTAAGTTATAGTTAATCTTATAGTTAAGAGGTGAAAGCATACATGAAAACAATATGAAGACAAGAGAACCAATACTAAAAAAGTGATAAAGAAGTGGAAACTACTATTGACATGTATTGAGATATTCATGGACAAAAAGTGGTAGCACTTTTCTGCATTTGGAGGCAAAGCCTTCTCTATGGAAAATTTCTCAATTTCTTATACCAGGAATCAGTTTGCTAAGTGAAGAAGAATTGAAATGCAAATAGAAGTAAATATGTTACCCATGTCTTTCTCTATCAACTGCAAGCTTTCAAAAAACTAGCACAATTTCACATTCAGGCTGGGGCACTGGTTGGCAAAATCTAGTTTAAAACAGATGAAATTGTCGTGAAAGACTGCAAGGACATTTACGTTGTGAACATTTGATTAACGATGACACTGTAATTTGATTATGAACAGTCATAAGATAAACAAAAATTAATTGTTTGCTCTGAAATGGTATTTTTTCTGCAGTTTACACAAAGCAAGCACTGAAGTTCTGAGGTTTTCACTAATGCAAAACACTGTAGAAAGCTATTGTCATAAAAAGTTCATGAAAATGAAAGCTTAATTTGGAAATCAGAAAATTTATTTTGTCCTCAAAGTGCAATAATTTGGTACTGTTAAGGTTACAGCTAGTAAACAATATGAATGATTTTGGTTTTTCTTTTTCTAGAATAGACAATCAAAATTCTTATATCAGCACCTAGTAAGTTACTGAGAATTCCATGAAATAAATGCCAATTTCATGGCCCAGCATAAACAATCCCTTCTATTCAAACTTCAGCTAGGAACATCATATTACAAAAATGACTCAGGGTTATTTATTGCCGTTTGTCAATTTTTGCTCGTTAGTATTTAAATGGTCTAAGAGCTCAACAAATTAACTTGGACTGAAGAAGGTTTATAAATGTAAAAAGGCTGCTGTTCCAGAATAATTCCCTGAAGAATTTTTTTAAATTCCAGTTAAGAATTTCTCTCTTGGTTTATCTTAAGGCAGTGTGGAATAGCAAATCTGTCTTCTCATACCCCTGAGAAAGAGCTAAGCCACACAGACTGTAGACCATATATTTAACTCAGAGCAAACAGCTCCCAGTGAACAGAAAAGAACCCTCCCTATTTCTCAGTTTTAAATGAAGAAGTTTTTAAACATAGTTTCTTTGCTTTAACCTTCAGATGTGCTGCCAGGGAGCTCTTCGATTATGGGCAGAACAAGACCATTGCTAAAGGAAAATTGCAATTAAAAAGTGTAAGAAGTTGAGTTCTAGTCTGTAATCTGAGTTCTTTGATGTTCAGCAGACATTTTTTTGGAAGGCCTGTAATGGACATTTTGAAGATGTACAGTGATGTATGTAACATCTCCAGCCTTTGAATATGAAACACACATCAGAATTTATTAATTGTGACTAGACAAAGCAAGTTGCTTTTAAAAAACTAAGCCATCTTATTTTACTGTCTCAGTACCAAACCCAAATAAATTCAATTTAATTAAAACAAATCTTACAGAAAGC